GGACAACTGCTTGAGGCCGGTCGTTCGGTTGATGGGTACTATGTTTTACCGTAGGATCTAGCTTTCCGTCTCGTGTGTGTTCAGACCTACTGCAGTACAAGCTGCTGTCACACTACCCGATTTCTTCGGCATTTGCTTCTGTCTGTGGAATAGGAGAGCCAAATCATCTGCGAAGTCCAAATCGACCAACTGTATCTTAACTATGCAATGAATTTCATGCTGCACTCCCACCACATGCTGACGTCGACATAACGCATTCAACCACCAGAAGAAAGAGGAGGAGTGAGGGAAAGCAACCTTGTTTGACATTGGTCTTCTCATTTGCAATGATTCTATGAGCTGTCCTCTATGCACAATTTTTCAGCTCAATACATCACATGGATTCCGTATGAAGTTATTCACTGAATAAACAACTTGCTATTATATTTTAGTTTTATGAAATATTTTTCAATTTATGATAATAACAATAATAATTATTATTATAACTATTTGATTTGAAATAATGCTATTATCATTGTAAAGAATGACTTACTTTCTGCATTAGAACTAGGCATTCTAATCTGTAATAAACAATAAAATTGACGTATAATAAACTAGAAGAATTTGAAAAAGTGTAACTTACAGTGATTGACTTGTATGAATTATTTTTGACTGAATAAATGCATTTTTAAATATCAATGAGAAGATTCAAACAACCAGTATAAATAAATTGAACTTTACCCCATCGAACAAATGAGAAAGCTATCTGGATTCAGCAGCTAAGTGGATAATGCGATGGTGTTTGAAGTGAACGGTATTAGGTTCGACTTCTAGAGTGGAAATTAGCTCTGGGATCAATGTAAATGGAATTGACTAGTCCCGAACAGGATGGAGAGCACATTCTGAATTTCACTACTAGTCATTCATTATCCATCTGTGTTTAAATCGATAATTTTCATTATTCATGATATATCACAAACGAAGTAGAAGTATATGTTCAACATTAACTTTAAATTCACTTTGTTTATATATGCGTACATAGTAAATTAACTGATGAATATTTTTTATTTCCTTAATTATAGAACTGTTTAATTATAAATCATATATTTGAAAGAATGCTTATACTACTTACATGATTAGCATTCGTATCATGTTTCTCGTAATTCTGTTCTTCTTCAGGCTGTTGAACAGATTTAAACGGATAACAAACATCACATGTTATAGTATTTTGAAACTCTTTAAGTTTGCCTTTAATTTTTGCACATTTCGATTGTGTAACATCTAACTGGGATAGAATATCACTGGTCAAATAAGCAGCTACACCTATAATAAATAAAGAAGTACGCATATTAATTATACTCACAGTCGGAAAATTCATGCTTTTCTCTAACAAAAACCGAAATTCTCCCTAAATATAAATGGAGAGGAACGTTATTAGTATGTTCAAAACAAAGATTTAGATTTATATACCATAAACTACTCCGATGAGATGATTTTCGATACATCGAAAATAAGTGACAAACGCAGTGAACAAAATTACTGACTGAAGGTGTGTGGTTCAATTATTTTCGGGGTCATTGATGAGCATTGCTAATGAGTCCAGTTTTAAGTTAGTTTGTGCTTAAACTGCTTTCAAAATTACTAATTGTCTTTTGAAATAGATATTTTGAAAGTGACCTTGATTTTCTGTCATACTTTTTCATCATATGAAATCAAGTTACCGAATTTACTACGGATAGTTAGCGAATCAAGTCAAATCATGAAATCACAGAAAGATATCATCGATCTCAACTTTAAAAGAATACACCACCTAACAACCTGATTACGTATACAAATAAATCGGAGTACAAACAAAACTGTGATAATTCCTACATTGTATCGTTTACATCAATCAATCTTAACCAATAATGGAAACTTGCTTTGCAAGATTATTATTATTATCAGAGAATGGTGAACAATAGTTATTCATTTGTTTAACGATGTTAATTTTAAAATCCTAATCAAAACTCATAATTTACAGTCGATTAAGTGCTCCTAGATGATTTTATAAATCATGATACTGAAGCACTGTATGTGCTCCTTCGGAAGTTGAATTAAATTGTAAACGTTTCCCCGTGTAATTATGGTAAATGATTAGAAAGCTATATTGATAATCATGTTATGTGAATACTGTTGATTGATTATATTAATAAGTAACTAACACGTCACCAATCAAGTAAACTAGAAGAAAATAGAACTGAATTTCAGTTTAACTCAAATTTGTCAACATGGTTCACAATGGTGAGAATTCGATTCGACAACTCGATTGAAGTACAGTAATGTTGAAGTCACATTCTTCCGTAACTTAGTTAACTATACTTGTAAAACATTACCCATTTTCAAATAGACATTTAAGGTAATGATGATACTAATGTCGAATACAAACATTTGAATAACCTTTGATTTGTGTATCAGGCTCAAAGAAAAGTTCGCACTTCTTAGTTCAATGTACTTGGTAATTTTTCATGCCTTAATATGTATACAATGCTGTAAGTACAGATGATAAATCTTAGGAGTTTATCGTTCGGACAAAGCAAAATATAATGTCGAAGTAGAAGACGAAATCTGTAAACGTTTTTTCCGCCAGATCTACTAGAGCAGCACTTTTACACGAAAATCTAATCTCACCGATGCTAGGCAACTCTGCTAAACATTTCATTTCTTATTATTGAACAAATAAAAACTTTACATTGTTCTTGAAATGCTTTAATGGTATCGAATGCACTGATTTGTTTTACGAAAGTTTAAAACTTTTACAAAATACTGAAATTTGTAAATAAAAAGAAAGTTAGTTAGTTGCATAGAGTGACTTATTCCAATGAATCACTCATACTCACACACATAAAAACAAGAGTATAAAATGTTGACTTATTTCTTTTTAAATCTTACCTATTATATCAGGTCTTTGAACTGGATCAGGTTGTAGACATACTTTAATGATTTGATCAACAAGATGAGAATATTGATTTGGGCATTTCATTTCAACTGATTCATAGTCACCTTTAACTATGCGTGATGCAGTACTAAGAATACATTCACCTTGAAATGGTGAAGTGAATGTACATATCTGATATAAAATACAACCAAGTGCCCATATATCTGCACCTTCACCATACGGAAGACACTGTACCATTTCTGGACTATTGACGATTTTCAATCCGAAAAAACAATTTAAAAAAAGTAAGTATTGTTAGGATAAACAGATAATTATCACTGAAATATGTATAATTCTTAAATGAAAATGGAAATCAGTGAAACAAATGCTCGTTATTATTTCAATCGAGTGAGAGAAAGACTAAGATTTGGTTTTGGAGTTATATGAAATATCAAGTCTACATTACATGATCATCTAATAGCTTTAATTTAAAACAGATGTTTGAAGTAGAGACAAACAAACTACATTACTTAATGAAAACTATCATATTGAAAAGAAAGTGAAGTTAGCACACCAGTATTAAATTGTAACAAAAAGTAATTAATGACATAAAAGCTCTACGTTTGTCAGTTTACATGTACATGAAATTCCATGTACATTGAGATTCTTGATTGTGATCTGAGATTATGACAGTTATGCACTAAATAAGTTTCATATTCACATTTGAAGAGCATAGATCTTCATTTATTATAGAAAATTATGTACTTGAAAATAAAGTACAATTTAACTAAAAGCAGCCATCATGGTTAGATGTTGAAATTATCCTTAACCTTATCATAAGAAAATGGGAATCGGTCTAAAATATTTTCGGAAAAAGGCTGATATGACAAAGCCAGCATTGATAAGTTGATCTGAAGATGATTGTTACCCATCTCCGGTAATGAATCCTTTTATCATGCTAAGTCACAAAATATCAAATGATGACTGAGAAGAATTCATATTTAAGAAAAAAATAGACTAAACTTCATATTAAATCTATAATCTAAAATTAAAACGTTTTAAGGCCACTGGTTCCAACAACAACAGCATAAAATTTTCCTGATAATAACACGCAACAGTATGAATCAGAATTATGAAGTTGGAAAATTACATCTTACTGATGTGTAATATTAAATGTTGATTTCTACTTCAATTAAATCTTATTGCAGAATTTGACTGAATAAAATTAAACTGGCTATTCTAGTGATATTATATTACCAAGTATGATTTTAATTAAATTGCTTTTTTCTGGTCCATGATGCTTCCTATTTTCATAATTTTTCATCCACTCAAATTCCATTTGTTGTATAAAAATGTCAGAATAAGTTAATATGTGAACAAATATAGATGTTACCTTATTAAACCATATAAATTTAGCAAACATCATTCTTTTGTTACAAAGTATTACATCAGAATTTATCCGATAACAACCCAAATGTGCTCTTCGCTAATTCGCTGAAGCCATAGGCATCAAACGACTTAAGCAAGGGCTTTTTCGCCCAAAAAAATCAAACAGCTGTAAATCTCCCCGAACAATAGTGACTTTATTGTCGGTGCACTAAGTCGTTTATCAAAGTTTTCTCACACATCACTTTTTTTCAAATTCATCACTGTATTGATTAGTCCCAACTCATGTTATTCTTCAATGCTAATAATGTATAATTCAAATACTTCATTATATAATCACGTAATTGATTATTATTTCGCTTTGATCATTTGTTAATATGTCTTAGGATCCAAGATCTCTTGTATACGGTATCTAGTTGAAACACTCTTGATGGGACTTCAATCTACCACTACTACACCATGGTGATGCATACTCCCTGATTACTCTTGTAAGTATGTAAACTTTACAGTATTTAAGCTACATAAAGGTTTATCAACGGTTCATAATCTATCTCATTCACTTAGAACATCTGAAACAGTATGAAGTATCACTCTCATGCCATTAAATGTAATCTATATTACCAAGGCGTAATATTATATTTACAAACTGTAAACAAACAAATAACCATTTATCCATGAAATAACAGTTGCGAATTTCATTCTTTTCAGAAATTCCATGTTTTTTTTCAGTGAATGGAAGAGAGAAAAACTCTTAGGATATTCATCCAATATACTAAGAGAATTATTGGTCAATTCCTATTGGTTAATTACTACTCGTCAATTTTATGAACGTCCTAGACACCAATGTCACGTGCTCCAATGTTGTTTCTCATTGGTTGTCCTGACTATCAATGTCACTTCAAATCCTGCTTCCTATTGGTCATCTTAACTGTCGATTTCACACACTTCGATGCTGTTTCCTATTCGACCCAAATGTATAAATACGCATTATCTGTAACATTTTATGACCAGGACACGGTCCCGGATTCCTAGTCCGGGATCCTGGTTCTCTTCTAGATTCGGACCTCGTACTTTCTGGATGCTTGTAGAATACAGGTTCTACTTCACATTCAAGTCTTCTTATTTTTACTCAATATGGGGGTTGGGATAATCGGATTTGAGTAGCATGTCGTGTCGCCGGATCCTCGATCCTCGCTCTCGTTTTCCGACTAGGTAAACTCGTAATAGTTCAAGTATATCAAAATGACGTGTTTACGTGCAGGCGTAACGAATTAACAAAGAGTATTACCATGTAATTTATATTTTTTTTGAAAAACCATGTCATTATCACTAAAATTTTAAAAAATAATAAAACCAACAACATAGTATTACCAGGCATAAAATAATGTACCAACAGTGGATTCTGTTTCATTTGAATCAATGGTTTTGTGATATGCTAAACCGAAATCTGTTATGGTAACCTGCAATATAAAATAAACACAATCTATTTCAATTTTTAAATAACGCATAAAAATTAAGAATCTTTTTTCAAAAGAGGAAAATTTTCTTATAGCATAACAATAGTGTATTCATTCAAATTATGAATGATTTATTGATTAAAAATGATTTTTTTTCATACCAGAAAATAAAAAGAATTGCGAAAATGAAATCGCTGTACACTTGGTCGGGAAATAAATTTTAAACAATAGTTTTACAGTCCAGTAATAGATATGTTCATCGAGACAAGTCATTTATGGTCTTTTATGAAGTGAATTCATAATGACCGTTAGGAATTTACTTTTGAAACAATCATTCTGGTACCACTATTCAAGGTCAAGAACAGGGAGTCAAACGGTCGACTAATTTTATTTGACCGAATAAATATTAATTTTTAAAAAAAAGATCAAGTTTCTGCATAACCAATAAAAAAAGTGTAGTCATCTAATCGATTTTTATGACTAATCAACGTTTATGAAATCTTACTTTATTTGAAAATTTACTGAGATCACGAACCAACTAGAAGGCATTGGACAGCTGTTTCGTACTTGTGTGGGACTCTTTAACACCAGTGGATTCTAGTTCACTGGTTTAGAGCTTAAGTCTTCGAGAGCGAAACTAAAGGTCTTCTGACTGCAGAGTTCCATAGTAGAAATTTTGCAAAAAATGAAAATAATTTCTTTCACCAAATGAAGAACTGTACAGAAACCGATGAACAGTGAGTGATTACTTTAGTTGTACTCGTTGTTTAAATCTTGCTACTGTTGTTTCGGACTGAAATTGATCAATCTCATTTAGCGTATGTGCATCCTGTACACACTGTCTCAATATTACCTCTAGATTACAAGAATTATTATTATTAGCGGTGGATAATGACTATGTGTTTTCTCCCATTTTGGATTAGTCAACTGAATGTAATGGCATCATCTCAGAGTTGATATTCACTCCGGGACTTTAATACAGTACCGTTAATTAAAAACTTCAGGATCGCACACTCAACAACTCACATGAAGATAAAATTAGATCGCCTTAATTCCACGCTCAACAATATGTCATGGAATCATTGAGTCACAATTAGTTTTGTTTCTATTGTTATTTCCAGTCAGTCTAAAATATTGTCAACAGTGAATGATTTCTATCTTTTTCATCAATCACAAATCAACTGAGATTTTTAAAGAATTCATCCCTGTGTATTGTTAATTACAGTAGGTTTTCTGCCCACTATTTTCCATTGATTACTGGTTTTGCATGCCTCTTTTGTGATTCTTCAACTATTTAACGTTTTCTTCTAATGTAGAACTCACTTTCAAAATAACATTGATTATTAATCGTCCTAAATTAATCAAAAACAAATCTATTACTCACTTTGTAACTTTCACCAATCATAACATTATTTGATGATAAATCTCGATGTAGTATATTCTTTTCCTTATGCAAATAACGTAAACCTAATATTAATTGAATAAATATATTCCAAACATTGGATTCATTGAAATGCATATTTTTCTCTTTAAATGACAGAATTAATTCTGTCAATGAAACACCATCTAATAATTCCATTACAATGTACAAATGATCAGCTGTAGAAGCGACAACAACAACAATAACAGAAATCAAACAAATCATTCATGAATAATAAAAATAATTAACTAATAACATAAAATATATATGCAAACTTTTCATGAATTATATATACCAAATAACCATGAAATAATACTGTTCAAAATCGTCCCCTCACTTTCATTGAGAATAAAATTTGCAATTTTTTATATCTACAGGTAACTTGAAAGTTTGAAATGATTTCATAGATGTTTTTTTCTGATGAATTTTAGCATTTAATTAAGAGAAATGTGATATATTGATTACAATGTTTAGTTAAAAAAGAATATAAATATATAGATTTTGTCAATTTGATTTGAGCACTGTCCGATACTGTTGATATTTAATGGGTGAGGTTGAAGATGAACAAAAAATCAAGTAGTAGTTTTATAGTGAAACTGATATGAAATACATCATTTTATAAATTAAATGAAAAGTATAGTGAATTTTTTGTTTCATTAAGCTTTATGGAAATATGGCATTTTTTTAACCTTAGATTATTTTTGTTTGCTTCTATAATATGTTTCTCTATATTAATTATGTGTTACGCCTGCAAGTAAACACGTCAACTTGATATGTGTGAACTATTACGAGTTTACCTAGACGGAAAACGAGAGCGACGATCGAGGGACCGGCGACACGACATGCTGCTCAAATTCGATTATCCCAACCCTCATATTGTGTAAAAATAAGAAGACTTGAATGTGAAGTAGAACCTGTATTCTACAAGCATCCAGAAAGTGCGAGGTCCGAATCTAGAAGAGAATAAGGATCATGGACTAGGAATCCGGGACCGGGTCCTGGTCATAAAACATAAGAGATAATGCGTATTTATACATTTTGGTCGAATGAGAAACAGCATCGAAGTGTGTGACATTGACAGTTAAGACGACCAACAGGAAGCAACATTTGAAGTGACATTGATAGTCAGGACAACCAATGAGAAACAACATTGGAGCAGGTGACATAGATATCTAGGACTACCATATAATTGACGAGTAGTAATTAACCAATAGGAAGTGACCAGCAATAATTCTCTTAGTATATTGGTTGAATATCCTAACATTATGCGAATCTACTTGTCTTTTCTTTTGAGATTTAAAGCAGCTAGGTAGATCAATGAACAATGTTAATGCTTATCATTAAAATGGATTTTAATGTATGCACTAAGTGAAATAAAGAAATGTTATTCTCATAGTTAATCATTTACATTCTAAGTGTGGATTGAAATCAGCTAGATGTATTGAAAAGCGAATACCATACACAGCGTGTCAAAGAAAGTACACAAAAATTCAAATTAATAACTTGTTCCAGTGGAAAAGTGAAATATTGCATAAAATCTGATCATTGAAAAAAGCTATTTTTCATAATAAATAAATTATCAACATTTATGGTTAATTAACAATAATAACTAATCGTCGAATGATTTTATTAAACAAATTCGAAAATGTAATCAAAAGTACACACTAGATAAATTGTATACAATTAACAAACGTTTAAGCTAATAATAACTCCGCCTGAGGCCCTTCTGGGGTTACTCCCAGCACCAAACCTGGTTAAAGACGGTTGGGCATGGGGTTAGCGACTACATCCCGTAGAGAACCAACTTCCTAAAAAAA